CATTGGATTTTTTTCAGTTGACCTAATCCTTCAAACCGTACTAGGCCCTGGGGTTTACTCAGCCTCTAACAGAAATCAGTACCAGGAATTAATTAAATAATTTTCCTGGGGAGTAAAGCGCGGCCGGCGCGTAAGGCTGACAACCTTACCACCATCTTTGAGCCGACTGTCTAGATAATGTGGGACCCTTAACGTCTCACAACCCTATGGGACTTCACGACCTGGTACAGGGATAGCTTTACTTTTTGTTATTACTTATATCAGTGAAACTTGCATAAACCAATTCCGTTCACTTCATCCGGCAAGGCAGTAGTAGTTGAAATAAAAACAAAGTCGTAAAGTAACCGATATAAAAGAAAAATAAGATAAAATTAGGAAAGCAGAATAAAAAGAATCAGGAGAAAGAAGTGGAAAAGAAAGACATCATCTGCTGTTGTCACTTGTGGACGAACTAATTCGGGTGTTGACAGTAGCACGGCAGCCTTGATCCGCTTCGAAATGACCACAGCCTTTTGAGGCGTGTGTGATGCATGCAAAGGATTCCCGGGGCTTCAAGCTGCGCATTAAAAGCTCGGTGGCCGGAGCGAAAGCCGGGTGTAGGTATGAAATATGCACTATTCGGCAGTTCACGCAGGGAGGGGTGATCGTAGTGAATTTTACAGCTCACCCGCTGAAGTTGCGAGGTGTTTCCCCCTGTTCTGTATACGATTTTGTGGGGTTCTGTTGTAGTACGAAAGAGGCAAGATATGCCGTGTACAGAAGTGTGAGCCGCACCGATATTCCATTGTCTAAGGAAAACGTTCGGCGTTTTTCTTTTCGGGACTAGCATCGAATTTTGATGCGCAACATGATATATTGTTTGAGAACATAACTACAATATAATAAAAATGCATATATTATGGTTAACTTGAAGTGTAATCATAGCTCAAGCGGTTAGTCGCTGGCTTCCCATTGCGGCGGCTCGGGTTCGATCCCGGGTCTGGTCAAGTGGGATTTGTGGTGGACAAAGTGGCGCTGGGGCAGGTTTTCTCCTAGTACTTAGATTTCCCCTGCCAATCTTCATTCCACCAATTGCTCCACAATCACCCTCAACTATCATCTGGGGCTGGTACAATAGGCCAAAAGTGGCCGCAGTACAAGAGACTTAGTCCCACCCCACTAGCACTAAAAAGAAATATTTTTATATTCCATTTTGCCGCTAAGAGTCCTGAATAGTTACGGTAATATCACTGTGTTTTATCCAGAGAATTTTATTATAAACTCACACAACGGTTTCGTAATGCTTTATATTTTGCCGAACTAGCAGTAGAAGGGGATGGTGTTGAAAGAAATGTGAAGGGACAAGGTCGTGTCCTATTTTAAAGTACTATTCCAGCATTTGTCTGGAGTGACTAAGAAAAATCACAATCTCAGGCTGTGTATGTGCGTCTGCACATTTCCGCGCAGTTCTCCATAAGTTGTTAATTGGGTGTTCACAGAATAATTCTAGGCTAATTTAATGTTTATTGAAAAAAATTCCAATATAACCCAAATTTGTATGAAATTCAATTAGAAATTTATTGAGTTAAAGAAAAATGTTTTCGGATAAAAACTCTTACATAATAGAAAACAAAGAACTCATTGATATCTGCAGCCTTTCGTTCATGCATTTATCAGCATGGTGAATATTTACAGAAATACCACGAAAATTATTATCATTCTGTGATTTGTGGTATCTGTAGTGTAGTTAACTTTACAAAAACAGGATTCTATCTGCAATCATACATTTACATTTGCAATAGATGAGCTTCAAAACCAGTGTTATGTGCAAAACAAATAATACATTTAGAAAATGTATTTATATGTAGGAACCATGACAGATTGCGGTAAAGATGTGCGCTCATATTTGGCCGTGTTATTCATAAGTTAGCAAGGGTGTAAATTTGAAGAACATTAATTCCTAAATCCTCTGGATTTGAGATACACGTCTTCACTTCACAAACTACAAGTTTTCCCACTTTGCAGGATTACACTCGGGAGAATATTAATTCTGTTATAAAAGATTCGCCACCATAATTAGTAGGCTACGTGAAGGGAAAGGGGGGTTAGGTTATTATGTACTGAGCTATATGGATACTTCCCTTACAGAACGTCGAGGCGTGGAAATGTTCCATCTGGCTTCTATCAGTTTGGAGTTTATATAGATTTAGCAAATAGCTTTCTCGTGTCGTCCTGTTTTGCTGCATTAACTATCCGAGAACTTGTCTTGACTGTTAAGCGAAGCAGGCTACGTATAAGGGATGCATATATAATAAAATTAAATATCTCAGTACGGTCGGTTACGGTGTGGGTTTTTATACGTTTCTAGAAGCATGAAGTGGAGGCCGTATTTGTTCGCCCGCTCGTTTTATCTCTGACACCACTGGACGGATTTGGGCTGCATGATCAATGAGATATCCCTTCTAAAACTTCTTAGTTTTGATTACAGTTGGGCATTATAAAGCCTGCTTTGCATAAAACTCAGATCAAAATATCATAAACATGTCATCATACAAAATAAATTCCTGCGTAGCACGTAATATGTATTCTAAAGGGTTCTGACAGTGATATGTTACTCTCAGTCTTACTGAGTGTCGGGATGTTTATTCTGAAACGAATATTAATATTTTTCAAAACTTTCACATCGCAACAAGCCGTAACAAACAGTAGGAATGAGGTATTTGAGGGAGAAGTAATTAAAAGGTATATCTTGTGGGATATAACGCCGTACAGTCTGCTGAAAATAAACTGACATTTGGGAGGAAAATTGCCTCCATCTTCAGGATCGAAGAATAAGGCAAGCAAGAAATCAGCATGGAAAGGTTGCTACCTGCTTCATGCTGATTCCTTGCCTGACTTACTCTTCGACCAGCGGCCTCCGTAGTCTAGAGGTAACGTTCCCACCTCATGATTAGTAGTACGCGGATTCAAATACCCGGCGGAGGTCGTCGAATTTTTAAGGACGGAAAAATTCAGGGAACTTTAAGGGACTTTAAGCCATGGGTCCCGTGTCGTAGCTTTACGGCACGTAAAAGGACCTCATATCTCCAAAGGAGGTCACTGAGCCAAATTAACGAACGTTTCCCGCCCAACAGCAGTCACTAATACCTCCGGTAGATGGGGGAAACATTATAGATACCTCTCAGCTAAGTAGAGCCGGTCTCCCTGGCTGGGCGGGACTGATGGTAAGCGCCAGTACCAGTAGGATATAGAGACTGGTAGAAATCATAGAGGGAAGCACAATGGACCAATACAGGTCTCAGTGCATGGGGAAACCCGCCCTCTCCAATAACTAACTAACTATCCTTCGACCACGAAGAAGGGGGCGACTGAAACGTCGGATGATTTTCAACAAACTACATGATGTTTTATCCCAGGAGACAGAACTTATCGAAAAGAAAAGTAGGCCCTTAACGTTCTTTGTAACTAGAAGCAATAAGACGTATACACGAACAGTTGTTGAGAAATATCAATAAAATAGGCTTTATATCCGTACGCAGATTCCAAGAGTAATAATATGATTTTGGGAGTGACTCTCGACGGGGTTCTGGATTGGATATTGGATTTATTGACCACTTTAACACACGGCTCTTGGCTATACGTAACTATAGCGCCACCGCTGATTTCCACACTTTGAAAATCACTCCAGAACACGCTAAGTTGAAGATAGAAAGTAAAGGTACAGCTATCCCTATAACAAGCAGTGAAGGCCCATTGGTTTGTTAGACGTCGAGACTCACAGACGGCGATGAGGTCAGCCTTACGCGCTGGCCATCTTTACCCCCATGAAGGTTTCTGATACTCAATTCTGTTACAGGGTGAGTCGAACCCAATGCGGCTAGTAGGATTAGGTCAATTGAAAAATCCTGTGACCCCCATCGGGAATCGAACACGTAACCTTCCGGCTTGTAGCGCAGTGTCTCAACCAACTACGCTACAGCGTGAAGGTCTGTCTGTGAAACAGTACCTATAGATGGGAACTGTCATTTTTTTCTGTTGAAATATCAACGGCCTTTAATATAGTGAAAAAAACGCCTCTTTGGTGTGAAGCTGACGTGTTAATTAAGAAACAGTCAGGCCTTTGTCAAGTAGCAAAATGGTAAATAAAGATTTTTCTAGAAGAATAGCGTAACTGACAGCAAAAAAGATGTTTGTTGTGACACAGTGAACAGCTAGCTACATACGGGAGAAGCGACCAGGTGTGAATATACGAGTATTACATAGAGCATTGTGTCTGAATAGGCTGCAACTGTTATGAAAGGCGACCAAACAAGCTGATGAACTGCGACGTTATTCTGAACGTAGTAGTTCGTGTCGTTCCTAGCGGAAAGTCTGTAATAGCAAATCTCCGACTACGAGTCTCATATAACAATGACCAAACCCAAGAACATAACTTAATACAGCCATTCCAAATGCCTATGTTGTCGTACATGTTTTGTGTTTCGAAAACTTCCGAAGTTATACACAAAATTTTATGCTGGCTCTCTGTTCAACCGCCATTTTCCGACGAACGTCAGAACAGTACTGTTACATTCAAGGTCAGAACACATTATGCAGCAATGCTTGCGCATTGAAATTATAAACAGCCACAACTAAAACTTCAAGAATCTTAACGCCACAACTCGCCAACAGATGGCATTGCAGAGAGAGAGAGAGAGAAAAAAAAGAAGAAGAAGAGGAAGAAGAGTCCTAATGGATCCTGAACACACCGTGTATGTTGTTATCCTTGCGTTAACTTGCATCCACACGTCACTAAAATCCTTTCAGTCACGCCACGACTTCTAAAAAGTTGGAAGTCTTGCTTTTAGTGCAGTATCGATAACAAGTTAAATGGAAAACAATTTGACTTCGTCAATGTTTATTTAAGACATCTTAAACCAAACTGTAGTGTAATGAATAGACGGCTTGTATTAAAAGTTGTAATATTGAAGTTTGCTGATAAAGATTGAAAGAGACTTCGGTTTTGTTTCTGCTGTGTTCAGTGTGCCATGGAAGCCCGGGGGGCTGAACACAGAGTGTGAGGAACACGAGGCATATCTAAGCAAGTTCCGGGAAGTCGTGTCGGCAAAGTTACAGACGCTTATCAACCGAAGCCTGGAAGAAGAACCGGAAATTAAAGCCCGAAACAAAACAGTGCAGGTTAGTAAATATGCATAGCGCATGTGGTGTATGTAATTTTTGTGACCTCACAAAAAATACTGACCTTCCATGCATTTTTATTTATTATTTATTTTTTCCTTTAGTTTTTATCTTTATATTGTCTGTTTGTATTGATATTTAACTCTGAGTTATTACTCGTTCTTTGCACACAGTGCACAGACTTGACGCATAATGGGAGATTGTGTCTGTCATTCTAAATATTCTTTCTCTTGAACTACTGAACTGCTTTAGTTGAAATTTTTAGTGGGATCTCTAAACTCTAGGCTGTCTCAAAACTTTTCATTTGGGTTCGTGTCGTTTGAATACCATACTCAATGCTTTACGTGAAGCTCAAATCGAACATTGATTTTCTCGAAAAATCTCATCGTAAAAAAAGACAGCAGAAAATAAAGTTTATAAATTTATAAAGCTTACTTTAAACATTCTCCGATGAGGTGAATATTCGACCAGGCACAAAGACAAATCACATATTTCTCTGCAACAGTATAATTTGTTTTGCTACATAACAAAACAAACTGTAAGCATTTGTCTCGTTTCAGTTGAAGAAAATGAATGCCATAGGAATGTGACAAATATTTTATTCTAGAAAGTAAAAGTAATCAATATTTCTAATTAAAATGAATTGTGTTTAAAATAACATTGCTTAATATGCAATATTCATTCATTCATAATATATATCATGAATTGAGATAAAATAGGCAACCAACATATAAAGAGAAGAGTTATATTGACGGCGTTCAGAATAATTCAGAGGAATATCATGCGCTCTATTTAAATCTGTAAGATTATCATTAATGATCTGAAGAAGAAAAAAATTGTAATTACCCTACTACAAGAATTACAGCCACAATAAGTTAACAACTAGTAAAATACGTAAAATCGAAAAGAACGCATTTGAAAATAACTTCTCTTGCTCAACTCCTCTTTAAGATCCGTCATTAGATTAATTCTATGAAACAATCTGCAAGAATTTAAGCCGTTGGAGTCTGTGAAGAGGATAGTTGTCTCAACCTCAATGTCATAATCATTTTTCGTGTTTACATCGGATGCTTTTACATCTTGCATGTAGTATAGCTCAGGATGTGCCTCCGTAGTCTAGAGGTAACGTTCCCACCTCATGACTCGTGGTACGCGGGTTCAAATACCCGGCGGAGGCCGTCGAATTTTTAAGGGCGGAAAAATTCAGGGAACAAGTCCTCCGGGAGGGACTTTAAGCCGTGGGTCCCGTGTCGTAGCTCTACGGCACGTAAAAGAACCTCATATCCCCAAAGGGGATCACTGAGCCAAATTCCAGGACTTTTCCTGCCCAACAATATTCTCTAAGGCCTCTGATAGATGGGCGAAGCATTATAGATACCGCTAAGCAAGTGGCCGAACTCGCTTGGTCGGCGGGACTGATGGTACGCACCATTTATCGGTAGGGTAGAGAGACTGGTAGAATATCATAGAGGGAAGCACAATAGATCAAACTGGTCGCGGTGCATGGGGAAAGCCACCCTCTCTAAATAACTAACTAACTAAGTAACTAGCTCAGGATGTGCCTTTTACAGGAGGTGTTCCAAGAGACACTGAGTCACTTAGCACTGTGCCAGCAACACATGAACAGTGAAGAAGCTGTCGACTGGACTGGCAGCGAGATACTTGACAGAATCAAGAATCTCATCGTAATCAGTTATGAGACTGCTGGTCCTGGAACTCGCCACGGACCTTTGCTGATCCACGGATCTCACGGTACGGGCAAGTCCTCGCTCCTTGGTGCTGTCTACTCCAACTGTGAAGCATGGTTTGGGCGACGTCTGCTACGAATCGTCCGATTCTCCGGAGCTACTCCACGCTCCGCATATAACCTAGAGCTACTTCGTATCATATGTCAACAACTCTGCCTCCTTCTCCATATTTCCGACGGATTTTTGCCTAAAGACGCATCGTTCGATCCTCTGTATGTTAATAATTGGTTTCAAACGCTAATACGGAGGTTTGAAGAGTCTGCCACGAATGAATTACTCGTTATTCTCATTGACGACCTCCACCGCTTGAATCCATTGGACTCGGACATAGTCGCGGCGCTGTCGTGGCTACCAATCAGTCTTCCCCGGAACGTGCACATTGTTGGCACCACTGCATTGCCTCCAGAATCACTGAAACTGACACCTGTACAAAGAGAGAGGTTCCGAAATCCTGACTGTTACATCGAGCTTCTTCCAAACCCCGGTGAGTGTCACATTATCTCCTAAAAATATTTTTTCTTTACCCGATCTACTTTCGTTTTCGTTTAAAGAAATCTTCTGAGTGTATACCTGAATGACGACAGTTTATTTTTATGAAACGTTAGAAATGGGTTTAAGAGCTGAAATAACGTGAGACATTGCTTTAACTTGAGTATTTCAAATAACAAACAAACCTAGACCAGTGAATCTATGCAAGGTACCTTGTAAAGCATCGAATAAATATATAAAATATATTAAAATGATAGGTATTTTGTAATATAACAAACCACGCAATAAATATTGCGTGTGACACATTCTTGATACTGTTGCATAAGGAAATTGTAAATGAATGCAGTTTTAACCAAATATACTCGGTAATAAATATTGCGTGTGACACATTCTTGATACTGTTGCATAAGGAAATTGTAAATGAATGCAGTTTTAACCAAATATACTCGGTAATAGTCTTCCTGGAAAACGCCGCGTAAACCAAAAACGCGTAAATCAAGGGCTTTTATCCGTAGACTGAATGTTAAAAACAAGAGTCACGTTTCTACACCAGTGTTTACGGAATGCAAAGCCGAGTGAACAGTCTGTATGGCATTGTTCCAACTCTTTGATGTTCTCTTGCAATCTGGTTAGTATTTCAACTGTGCACCAACTAATGCGACACCAGGTTAGTTGAGCAGTTTAAGCGATTCATCCCTGCGTCATACGTATAGCGACTTTTCTTAACTGGATGCAACGTCAAATAGTAGATTTATTACGAACTGGTAGGAAGTGCGTACCTCCTATTATTATGAGACATTGCTTCAGAAGAGAATATATGAAACCACGAAAGAACCCGGGAACATGGTCTCAAGGATGAAATGAGGCCCCTGTTCTCCGAAATGTCAAACAAAATTGCTTATCTCAGTTCTAACGTGCGGTTAATTTGTGCGGAAACAGCACTAAATTATGTTCGTCACTGATGTCTGGTGTCCTAAAAATTTAATGATTGTGTCTCAAGAGAAAGTTAGCTATCCAGTGGATATGCATATTGACTTTAGTAACAACCAGATTGCCAGATCTACTAATATCAAATTTCTTGGATTAATTATCGACAACATCTTGTCATGAAAAGGACATGCCGACAGACATATGTCTAAATTAGGTTCGGCCTCTTATGCAATCAGGGCTGTTAAACCTTATAGGGCACGCAGTAGCGTAGATGGTCGAGGCACTATGCTACAAGCCGGAAAGTCGCGAGTTCAAATCCTGATGAGGTCATTNTCGCGTATAGGAAGGACACATCACAGACACAGTACACACAGAAACGACTCCCATAGTGGACGAACCGTCCTATACGCGAGTTTGAATTAAGACATATAGATGAATAATCTTAACAAGTTTTAGCATATACAAATTTTATTATAATTGACGAATAATGTGCTTTCTAAATAATTTTATGAAAGACACAAGATGGCAAAAAATGTAATAGCTTAGCGTAAATAACGAACCTGAAGATGGCACTATGTTGCCGAAACATGTAGTAAGAAGTGACATATGAAATTGAGTGCACTACAAGACGGCCATTACATACATATCATGGATGAAAATCAGTGTAACAGGAAGCTAAAATACAACATTATGAATAGAGGTCATTGGATTTTTTTCAATTAACCTAATCCTTCCAGCCGCACTATGGCCCTGGGGTCGACACAGCATCTAACAGAAATGAGTACCAGGAATTAATTAAATAATTTTCCTGGGGTGTAAAGCGCGGGCGGCGCGTAAGGCTGACAACCTTACCGCCATCTTTGATCCGATTGTCTAGATAATGTGGGAGCCTCGACGGCTCACAACCCTATGGGCCTTCACGGCCTGTTACAGGGATAGCTTTACCTTTTTACTTTTTTATGTCACAGGAAACAATAAGAATGATTTATTTCTCATATTTTCATTTTGTTGTGATTTATGATATAATTTTCTGTGGCACTTCTCTCCATAGTATTCATAATTTTAGGCTACAGAAAGAGTAATTAGAATTATTACTAATTCTAGAAGTAGAGACTCTTGCGGGGAATTGCTTGTGAAACTGAAAATTTTGCCCCTCCCACCACAGTACATATTTTGTCTCTTGTTATTTATGGTTAAAAACAGAGAACGTTTTAAATCTAACTCTGAGATTCATAGCATCAATACAAGATACAATAACATTTTCCATTATGCAATATGTAATTTAACAGTATTTAAAAAGGGAACATACTATTTTGAAATTAAGACCTTTAATAATCTTCCTTCTCGTATAAAGAACTTAGCTCATGACACGAAACAATTTAGATTTGCTTTAAAAAGATTTCTACTTTTAAATTCATTTTACTCATCAATCTTAATTAACGATCTTGGTCTGTTATATGCTGGACGCCAAGTAGTATATTTTTATATTTGATTATTGTAGTCTTGTTTCATATTAGTATGTTGCATGCATTCTTATATATATATTATAACTGTTTAATGATTCATTCGTTGTGATTTTTTTGGATAATATGTGTAATTGTTGCGGATTAAGTATATTTAATTTTTATCTATGTAATTAATAGGACTTGTCGTGTTGTCTTTGACTATTTATATATCCACTCCTCTTCCAGCCATATCAGGATCCATGGAATGTAAATAAATGAATGAAAAAAAATAATATATTGGTGCCCCTACCGAGGAGCCTGGCATAGCGTCAAATCTCAACGTTTGTATTCTGGAGATACGCGGTTCAAATTTTCCCCAATGTTCCCGTTATACTGACTTTTCCTTGTGTACTCATCATTCGTAACCATGTTCTTACCTGATTAGGAACTGTATGCTCGTTAAATATTCTCAGACTCCACCAACTGACGATCCTTGAAGTACTGCCGACTATTAAGCATTTGTTTTCAATTTTTAGTGGGTTATTAAATGACGCTGTCAGTGAGAAAACTGATATGATTAATTAATGATGAATTTAAAGGTCGTGGCCTAATCGAGGTACTACGCCACAATTTGCCTGTAGGACTCAGTAAAACTACGAAAAACGTCAGTGAGAATAGCCACTAGGATTGAAACGGAGCATCTCCCGAATACAAGTCTAGAGCCTTGTCGCCGAAACAACCTGATCGGCTTCCCATAATTAATGTTGTTACAATCACGTTTAATTTAATGGAGCTGTTGCCTCAGGGACCGCGACCCTGGAGCCCAGAGTCGATTCGGCATTGGACAACCTTGAAGACCTCTTCGGGCGCGTGGCCGTGGCGCGACTGGCGAGTTTTCTCACGTGCTCGGAGTTCGGTCTGTCCGAGACAGAACTACTGGAGCTGCTCATGCCCACATCCAACAGCGCCGCCACTCTCAAACTCTCCAGCGGCAACTACAACTTTTCAACGCTTTGCGCCGTGCGGCGGAGGATGAGTGAGTTACAATGTAGCACCATATCTTTTCTTCTTTCGTTCTGTCTTTAATGCCATCAATTTCTCTTTCCGTTTTGTGCCTTTCTGCTCTCGTCGTGCTTTCGTCTTTGTATACCGGTATTTATTTATCTTCTTCCTCCTCTGCTCTTTCTTACTTACGTTCCAGTGTTTAAAAGTACACATGCTGGCTCGTGTATATGACGTCAAGGAAAGACGGAACATCTTAAATAATCAGTTTTGTTACCTACAAATCCCTGTCACCCACAGCGTCTTGGTTCAAAATATCCAAGTACTGTGGTGCCCCCCTTGAAACTGAACGTTACATTACGACCTAATATGCTGTATTCACAGTATTAAACTCAGTTACTGCATATTGTACGTGTAGAAGAGCCGGGATATTGTAGTCGGTATAGCGAACGGCTACGGGCTGGACAACCAAGGGGTTGGAGTTCGAGTCCCGGTGGGAGCAAGAATTTTCACTTCTCCATGTCGTCCAGACCGGCTCTGGGGTCCACCCAACCTCCTATCCAATGGGTACTGCAGGCTTCTTCCCCGGGGGTAAAGCGACAGTGGCCTGAAGCTGACCACTCACCTCCAGCTAGTGCTGAGGTCAAGAAAATGTGGACCTATACATACACTCCCCCATACTCCTTCATGGTGTAGTGCTTAATAAGTTAAGCACAGGGGCAGCTTTATCTTTACTGCATATTGTAGGATACTTTTCACACTTACACGATTCGTGGTCCCAGAAGCTGTTGAACAACCCCCCCTCCAAATTTGGAAAATGTAAACTTAGTATCTTAGTGTTCCTATAAACGAACAAAAATCAGATTTGCATTTTTCACATGTACANACAAAGTCAATAGAAAGTCCGTCCAGTGTAACAATTTGTAGGTCACTTCTTTATCACTTCTGCCTTACATGTTTCGGTTTAATACAACCATCATCAGAGGCACATAATACAATCATGAAAACACTGTTGTTGTTTAAGGTGTACACAGTTATGTTTGCTGCGTGGATGCTGCTACAGTATGTCGACGTGTAAATGCACAAAAATGTTAAAATATTTAAAAATTTAANTCGTCCAGACCGGCTCTGGGGTCCACCCAACCTCCTATTTAAAACATTCACATCAAATGTTTTAAATTTTTAAATATTTTAACATTGACGTTTTTAACTTGAGGGAAGTTTTGGATGGAATGCGAGAATTGATAGAGCATTCAACAATCCTAGCAAGTGTTGTGCTTTTACACGTCGACATACTGTAGCAGCGTCCACGCAGCAAACATAACTGTGTACACCTTAAACAACAACAGTGTTTTCATGATTGTATTATGTGCCTCTGATGATGGTTGTATTAAACCGAAACATGTAAGGCAGAAGTGATAAAGAAGTGACCTACAAATTGTTACACTGGACGGACTTTCTATTGACTTTGTAAACTTAGTATCTTAGTGTTCCTATAAACGAACAAAAATCAGATTTGCATTTTTCACATGTACAATCTTATTTTGAGTTAATTCAGATGTAAAAACAAAAACACACATGTAAGATTTGAGGTTCTCGCAGTGGTGGTTCTCTCTTCTAAGATGTAACGAAGTGTAGTCCGTTGAAAGTCAACCAACGTTTCAAAGGAAAATGTCGCCTCCATCATCAGGGTCAAAGAATAAGCCAAGCAAGAAACCTGCGTGAAGCAAGTAGAAAGTAGGTTCTATCTCAGAAGAGGGAACTCTTGAAAAACGCCCACTGAACTGTTTTCAGAGGGGACAAATAGAAGTACGAAGGAGAATTTATGGTACCCCTGGCAAGCATCTTTGGTGTCCATAGGGGTTCTGTTACTACATTTTCATAAGTGCTGCCTAGATAGTAATTTACCTCAGACTACAGGTGCTTAATCTTTGGGCTACTACTGAGTATACTGAAGATGGTGAATGAGACTGGAATGTGAACCAGTATAGTTGGAAACTGAAGAGATCTGTGGAGCAGTAGGAATGGTACAGCACTATAGACTGACCCATCAATGAAAACTGGGAGAACTCCATGGACCAAGCTGTGAATAAGACCAGACTGTACTGAAGTGAATGTTGGATCTGAGACCCAGAGCCATTCCGTTCTCTCGCGATTCAATCAGGCCTTTCATTCTGGAACAGTACTCCTCTATATTCACTCATCATCTTGTGCGAATATGTACACAGACATAACCATGGATATTTCATCTTCTTTCCATTTCATCCAGCCAAGTGTTCATTCAGTCTCTTCTAGGTTCTGTTTATTTTACATCTACAGTGTTTTTCCCCCACAGACCCTTCACCTCACCGATGGTTTTCCCAGTATTGTTTTTGTACATTTACTTGTATTCCCTGTTCTTGCTGATTTGAGTTTTGTGCCAGTTGGTAGCATAAAGTTTGTAGTGTTTGTTTCATCTCCTCATTTGGAACAGTGATGATTTCATCTCTTGTTACAGGTGCTTTTGGTGGATTACTAAGTTGCTCAGCTTTGTGCATGACTCAGATCACAGTAACTTTAGTAACTTAACTATGTGTCCAGTTCATGGACATTGTACAGAGAGCACATGAAGTTTCAAGTCTGGAAAATCTGTTAATTTCCTGTATTTATTCCAGAGCCTCTGATTCGTGAGAAGCTGATGAGTGGAAAGATTCTGGTGTGCTGGAGACATGACCTAACATCAGAGGTGGCTCGTAGGAGATACCTGCAGAATCAGGATTCTCTGCGATCAGCTCATGGAGAAATTGCAAACCTCTTCTTTAGTGAATTTTCACAACAGGGTAGTGATGCAGAAACAGAAGAGGCAGGTGAGGTCTTATAACTTACTTACACAAAGTCATGGCCCTGCCATACCTCAAGCGGTTAGTCGCTGGCTTCCCACCGGGTCTTGTCAAGTGGGATTTGTAGTGGACAAAGTGGCACTGGGGCAGGTTTTCTCAGAGTACTTCAGTTTCCCCTGCCAATTTTCATTCCACCAATTACTCCATAATCACCCTCACCTATCATCTGGGGCTGGTACAATAGGCCAGAAGTGGCCATAGTAAAAGGGACTTAGTCCCACCCCACTAGCAATAAAAAAAAATACACAAAGTCATTGCTTAATTGCTTTGTTATTTGTTTTGTTACTCAGTTACTTATTTTCCTACCTGCAAACATAAAGATTATGATTTTAGCTATTGCTTTTACCTACATATGGATCTTCATATCTCATTTTAAGGAAAAAACGTAGTTAAGGGTGTCTGAGAAGAGGATATTTGAACCTGTGAGCAAGAAATTAGAAAGAGGCTAGAGAAAATTACTTAAAAAGAAACTTCATGAGTAAGTTATTATTCTAGTGATGAAATTAAAGATGATGAGGTTGATGGTTCTTGTAGAATCTGGAAGTGTACTCAGTCAGAAGACATGAAGGGAAGAGACTGGTTAAGGGACTGAGGCCTATATCAAAGGATAATATTGGAGTGGAACTTGAAGCATGGGATATGAAAGTGTAGACTAGATTCCACGAGCTCAGTATATTTTAAATGACACGCCATTGTGATCATATTTTCATTAAAGGTAGAGAATTTTTCAGCTAACTGAATGACAATCATTTGTTTCTTTATTTGTTTCGTAGTTAATCATGTATATATATATATATATGTATATATGATTACATCCTGTTTGTAGAGTGAGTCAGCAGCTAGTGAGCAGTTTCTTTTCGATGGATGGTAACGCACTGTTACACAGATCGAATAGGAGATCCCATTTATGCTCAATAAATGTTTTCATTACAGCCAGTTTACTTACGTGATATTACAGTGGCTGTTGAAAATGGTGTCATCCAGAGTCCAAGCAGGTTCCCACAGATAAAATCACACACGTTCAGATCCAGGGAGTGTAACATAGTCATGGCTGAACATAAAGAGACTCCTCTTACAGCAGGAAGTGCGTGCTCTATGAGATTTGTTGCATGTTTGTTCATGAGATCAGTGGGCTGTTCATTCAGTCATTCATTCATTCACTCATTCATTCATTTTCCATAAATGCATACAGAAAACAAATTCATAGTATGTGGAAATAGTCACAAACAAAGCAATACAACTTACATATAGTCATACTCATCAGAAAGTACACAACAAAGTAAGCCTAAACATGCACACCACCCAATATAACTGAAACAATTCTTAAGTCATTGTAATATGAACATAGTAGTACTCTAGTAATAAAACCCAATTAAATAGCAGCAAAGCAATAACTACAAATACATTCCATCAAATATAGATATATACATATATGTAAAATCATCCCAGTATAACAATATAATCAATAATACTCAGTTTTGCAGATATAATACAATAGCCTTTTAAAGATTTCCTCCAATGTATAGAAAGAATTTGAATGCAGAAAGTCCTTTAAATTAACTTTAAACTTTTTTGGATTATTAGATATTCCTTTGAGGTTACCATGACCGTCCTTCTCATTTATAGTAACCAACCATAGTGACTTAGATTAGTGAACAATTACTGAGAATTAATTATGGGTATTTTGAGCAGGACAGTGCACCAGCACTCACTGCAGAAAATTCAGTATAGGTGTTACGAGAACATGCTGCTTCTGATGAACAAATAACCACTAGAAGATTATGACCATAACGTTCCCTTCATCTGAATGGGTATTACTTTTATCTGTGGTTAAACTTGAAATGGAAAGCCTACAGAAATAATCCACGCTTTACAGATTGAATTCTGGAATATTATTCTTGAAATCACAGAAGGTGACCTTCAATGTGTTGCAGAATTTCTTACATCAGTGTGAATATGTTTGGATGTTGGAAGACACCATTTTCAGCAACTACCGTAATATCAGGTAAGTAAACTGGCTTTATTGAAAACATTTATTGAGCATAAATAGGACCTTCAATTAAATCCAATGCAATTAGCGAGTTAAAATCTTATCAGGAAGAAGCCACCCATTAAATGACATTCTGCTCAAAGAATTGGTGTTAATAAGGACGCAAACAAGGAATGAACATCTGTGTGTTTATATACACACAGATATACTTCAGTTACATATTTTTGCTACAATGAATCATGTAAATTTGTACCAATTTTTCACATAACAAACTAAATTTTTGCAACAACAGACAATTTACATTTGTAAGTCTGGTGACTTCTACATATAGAGTAATGGGAATTTCGTTTTTATTTATGAATTTTCATCTTATGGAAAGTTTTTGTGGAAGAAATTGCCTTTGTAAGTCGAAGGATTGCTGTACACACATACATACTTGGCATTAAGTCAGTCTTCAATGGTTGTCCTGAATAAGACTCTAATGTTTTACTTTGAGGACACTGGGTCCCTGATTGTTATTGCAGTTATCTTTTTTCTTTTTTTATCAATAAGATACACACTTCACGAAAAAACAGCACTTGTGGCTTACCTTTACTGATTTTGGAGAAATTTGTTGTATTTTATGCAAAATGTTAATATTCTCCATAATAAAAAGTTGTATTTTGGAGAACATAGGAACTACTTACTTGTTTTTCACTAGCTGAAATTACTCAAAAGCTTTCTGACTTAACTGTATGTGCATATATAAAATCTTGATTTTTCAGTTTGGCTGAATACAGTAAGCTGGTTCAGGTGATCTCTGCATTTATATAGAATTAAATTTCAGTTCTTTCCACATTGCAGAAATTTTAATAAACATACAGCTAGGTCATTTGCAAGTTAAGTCACCAATTGATATCACTCACTTTTACTTCCAGGCTAAGCAACATTCAGCTAGTTTATTAGACCCTGCCCACTCCTCTCCTCTTGGATAATTCCTGCTCACCGAAGACTGAACTCCATTACATGTACACATAAGGACATGCCATAGCTCAGTTAGTTAAATAGTTGCCTTCCCCTCTGACAAATCATCACTCCACTAGTACTCCATACTAATTTATTATCACCCCAATTATCATCACCCTGAGTACATGTGCACGCCCACCCGTGTGTGTGTGTGATTTTGTACATACGCGATTTTGTGTATGTGCGTGTCATTCAAAATCTCACTCATCACTCCAGCCACCAAGTATAAATACAAAAAATGTGTATAAAACATCAAGTTTTGATCTTTAATGTTGTGGCTAATCACCCAATACAATTTCAGTAACATCTGCATGAACATAAAATAAGCCCCATTTCAAACTACATTACAATTTATGAAGAATGACACGTTCTGGGATGTGACACCATGTAGATCTTGTGAGAACCGACGTTTTGGAGTCTCCTGCTCTGGTATTATGTCTCTGTGTTAGTAGGCTCCGTGTCCATGTCAGTACTGAGAGGTGCAAAGAAGTTATGAGTTAACTGCTTTTGGAGCAAGCTTGACAACTGTGGATTTTTGAACTGTTTTAGTCGACTTCTTGACTGCATGTGAGGTATTGTAAGAGATTTGCCTCCTGCGTCTCTTTACTTCTTGGAAGTCATTGTCCTGGACCGTTCATTGCACTGAGGTCTTGTCCACTTCACCACTTTGTCCTTTCTCACTCACCTTCAGGGTGGCCTTCAGTTCATTGAGTGTTACCACGTACATGCCATAAAGAGGGCTAGGAAGCGGCTTCCCACCTAGAACTTTGCAAAAGTTTACTGTTATCCTCTGCGCTATTCACAGTAGAGGTCCACTTAGAGTATTGAGTACTTTATGCACTTGTTACACTACAGAAGCTGCTTCTAGGTATTTCTTTATGATGGCATGACATTCAGATTTCAGCGATACTAGCATCTGCATCCATTATTTCTGGAGTCCTGGTACTGAGACGTTCACCATTTGGTGTACACTAAGGTTCACCATGCTGTTCATTTTTTCCCCAGCAGTTATGTTAACTTCTCCTGGTGATAACATTTTGGCACAGACCATGTAGAAAACACCGTTTCCCTGTCACAATGCAATTGTTGCTTAGTGATCGCAGACTGCGCAGAAAACATCGTTCCTCTCTTGTTGTTTATGGGGTGCTGTCAAGTAACAGCGAACTGTTGTGACTCCACAATTCTTGCTTTGAATGAATGTGCCACATTATAATAGAGTATCTTATTTTTCAGATCCAACACCAGTTGAGAGCAAGGAAACTCCTTTTCAAACTACACTACAGTTAGATGATGTCACATACAGTTTGCGACATGTAGAGGAGTCATGGATTCATCTACTCAAAGCTGGTATGAGAAGAATTTCTGTAAAAAAAAATCCTCAGTAAATTTGATTTGTTTCATCCTGGTCCGGCACACTAGCAATAATATAAAAAGATTGTCAGCTCCATCCAGTGTGACTGATAAATATTTAAAAGGGAGAAGAAACATATATCAGTCACACTGGATGGAGTTGATAATCTTTATTTATTTATTTATTTCGTCTCTATAGATCATTGTTACATGATATAGGACAAGTCAGATACTATACATTGGCTGATTACAATACAAGAATAAAGCCACAGTGCAGTCCTCAGTCTTATTTAGTACTCACACCTGCAGTCTCTTCCTGATTAACTGAACATGTTCCATTAATTAAAAACATTTAATTAACCAAACAAATTAAATTAAATATAAATATTAATTAACTAAATGTATCTCATGAAATACATATAGAAACAATTATACATATAACAGTTAAAAACATTCTGAGCAAGGGGTGTATATACTATATATATATAGTATTGTTTAATAGTCATATTTGTGTTTGAGGATGTCTGAATAAAAATGAGTTAATGAGTTTATTTTGACACAAATGGAAATGCACACACTGTTAGAGTACATATATATTTCAAATGGATTCCTTTTTATTTTGCATAAGTCACTGGCCCCATTCACTCATTGTTACAAAATAATCAGCTATACAGTTTAGTATCTTAGCAGGACTGATATAGTACACAGTTATCCCTACAGGTGACAGCAATCGACTGAAGCAGCTGACAGTGTGCAACTTTGACTTTCTGCTCGCGGCAGTACAGACTATATCTGTCAGCTACCTACGATGTGTGCTGGAACATGTGCGGTGTTATCTACTGGATAGAGATCTGGAACTTGTATATTACACCATCAGAAAGTCTAGTGATGTCCTAACACGTGATCCCTTACAGCTTGGGGCACAAGTCATCTGTTGGCTAAGACCTGTTGCAGGTTTGTATACACCATTGATCACAGGAGACGTAATGACCGAATCTCAGTCCTTTCTTGTATTATGTAATGATTCTGTTTCTGGGGTGATATTGTGTGCCTTGAGTTGGAGAGATGGTCATGAATGGCAAGTCAGGAAGAGTTTGAAATAATGAAGTTAGGCCCTATTAGAAGATATTCTCCTGATACTTGTCTGGCTAGATTAAGAAAAACCACAAAAATCCCCATTCATCCAAGCTTGTACCCTGGCTGAGATTCAGATCAGGTACCTCATGAAAACATAACTGTATCAAGAGACCTGTACTTTTCACATCATGTCATTCCTGTTGTTTCCACCAAGTAGGCTGGTGCAGCACTAATGCTGTACACTTGTACTGAGGATGTATCTGATTTAAAACATGATTAATGTAGGCAGTTGCAATTCTGACTGACTTCCCTATGGTTTCCCTTCAGTGTTCTAGATGAAGTCTTGGACCACTTCTGTACATATTCCCATTCAGTTTCGTGCTGTATAACCTATTTAACTGAAGCAACATTTTTCATTAACCTGGGAAATCCTTAAGTTCTGTATATGAAACAGTCCCTGAGGTGGGTGCATATTGTCATGTGTTGGGTATGTTACGTGACAAATAACTTCATGTGGTTCTCAGATTTAGTGAATCTTTATTGAACACTCACTCTTACAATTATCACTTGCAATGTCACTTGATTCTGGCCTAATATTTCAATACTCAATCTTCAATACGTGTCATAAGCTCAGCTTATGTAGGTGTTCTGCAGACTGGATACCAGACACCATTACTCACTGTTTCATTTCTGCTGTCCGCTGTTATGTAACGGACGCAACGAACTCTCTGTAGTTCATCTCAGGTGAGACGCGTTCATTGCTTTGGGAACGCTACTTATAGATTACACCAGTAATGTGTTTCGTCTCTTCCGTTGTTACTCAACGACAATTTGTTGCTACGATTTGTCGCTGTGGGAGCTCCACAATTTCCATTGTAGCCGTTGCGCGGCAATAGACGTAAAGAAACGCGTCACATTATGCACAGTAAATAAAACAATTCACCCTTTTCTACACTTCATAGTATTAAAAGATAACATATAGAGGATATTACTTGTCTGATAGTGTTAGATAATTTCTTTTATCTCAGCAAGGGTGGGGAGAAACTGGGACAGTTAAATAGAGCATAACTGGGAGCTCATATAATAAAAATGTAAATCAAGAACAGTGAAATTCTCTGTCTCTTGATAACAGTGTAGGAAATTTAAAACTTATACAGTTTCGGTAGTCTGTAGAAACTGAAACTTATATTATGTGAAACCATAAATCTGGAAGCATTAAATGTGGATTCTGCTGCACTCAGAAAGGATCACCAAACTTTTAACACAAAATTTCAAGGATTCTTAATAAGCATACAGATATTGATGACAAATCTGTTTGTTCACTGATGTTAACCTTAAAAGTTTTATCAGTCAGAAATTGAATATCAGAAGTATAGTTTTGAATACTTATTCATATGGTAGCTAATGTATTACATAACATGTATTAAGGACTAATCTCTTTATTGCTAGTAGAAGAAGCTGCTGAAGTTTTGTTCAAATGTGTATCATAGCTTAACTACTGTGGAGCTGGTAAAAAGCATGAATGATTCCCATACCTAACGACAAAACCTTTGACTATTATTTCTGAAATCTTTAATCTGTTAACTGACTGCCATGAACAGATTATAGAGACAAATTGAGTGATTCTTGGTAATTTTTTTTAAGTGGTTATGTAACTTTGAATAGGAGGGACCATTCTGAATAATGCTTAGGAAAGGAGATGGCCTGTTTTAAGTATTATTGCAGCATCTGTGAGGAAAGACTCTGGGAGGGGGAGCAAGGGAACTCAAGATAGCTAGTCTTTGGGTTAAAAATTAGACCCAAGACTTAAAAATACAAAGCATATTGTAGAACAGATGAATTGCCAGACAGAAGAACAGACACAAAATTTTAGTAAATGTGGAAAAGGATCTTAAAATTCTTTGAAACTAAAAACTAATACTTAAATATGAAAAGCTCCATCTTCTGCGATATAGTGGTCTAGTCCACTGAAAGTTAGCATGGCATTATATCCCATAAGGTAGAACTCTTTACAGCTGGAACCTCAGATGTAGGACCCAAAATGCAGAACTTTCTAAGATATTCTGGCAACTATATAGCCATGACCATGTGTTACTGTGAACTACAATGAAAATTATTTTTTTAATTAATTGAAATGCACCTTTCTATCTACAGATGCCAGTGGGGATCTTGTGAGCCACATGATAATATGTGCCATGGCATGGTGTGATGGCTACACTGCACCTCTGCTGGTGCCACTAAATGGTTGGCTTCAGCCACCACTGCCACTTCAGATAAAAAGTAAAATTCCTCAGCATTACTTAGATTCTAGAGAAGCATCTCTTTCATTTGACTATTCTTCATTATATGGTGTGTTATGAATAGTGTAAGGTTATTAACTATTCAAGGTAATCAAACCACACTGTCACTAAACAAATGAGTACAGCGCCAAGAACAAGATCTTGTTATTGTTTACTGTTGTTCTGATCAGGTTGTTATAGCAATGACACTATGAACTTGCATTGAAGACATATCTAGTTTAAATCTTACCCTATTATCACTTATCCTGACTGAGGTATTTCTCTCTCTCCCTCTCTGGGAGAAGTCAAGGAAACAGGACATGACTGCTTCATTCCATCAATCAATATCCTATATACTCATCATTCATTGCATTCAATGCTATACAATCTCTGCAACGTGATTAAATAATTTAAGAATCAATCAATGCTACCTCATTAAATCCCATTACCTATCTCTGAAGTATGTTTTGAAATATTTAAAGAAATGGTTAAATTTCCTCTTTAATTTAACTAAAGCAGCCAATCTAATTGGTTGTTGTGGTTCCACAGGATCCTTCCGATCTTGTATTTCAAACGGAATTGTGTTGCTAACTCTTGGAGTGCTATTAAGCCATTTTGTGTCTAGCATCCAAGTATTTCTTAACATTGTTTATTCCAGGAAGCAGAGCTCAGCATCTGAAGGGGTGAAGTATACTCATTCCTTCCTCCCATACAAAGAAAATGGAATTGGAAGACTGATATACTGCAGTTTTATCCTAATTTCCTAGTTTTATAAGAAAAATATTCTTATGGGTATTACTGTACTCATGTTTAGATTGCTGTTCTCCTGTAATAGCTTCTGAACAAACTGGTTCTTTCATTAAACTTGTTGTAAACAATATGCCACTAAAGAGTACCCAACCATTTTACTTTTTAATTCCACATCATCAGTGATACTACTGTGGAGATCACACACTTCTAAGTTAAGTGCCCCTAATACAGGGACCTGCTATGTTCATGGTAATACAACTTCAGTTTCTGTTAAAAAAAATATATATATATATTTTTTAAGGCTGTAAATCAGCAACATAATGGCTGCATGAAACGTATATTTGAATTCCAGTATGACAGCAAAAATAAATTATTTGAACTTTGATATGGAGATATATCACAAACATATGCAACATTTTGTATGAAACTTTCTTTTGCATGTTGAAAATTATAAACTAGGCAAAAGTGTGAAACTTCCAGATTATGTCATAAAAATTTCAGAGATTATGGATCTGTGCTAGTAGAAACTGTACATTAAAACAGATCACTAATTTCTGTAATTCCTGCTGTACTCCTTGTAGAAATGGATGCATTGAAAGGAGAGTACAAATAAATATTTGAAGTGCTGTCTAGAACTTCTTGCATCATTATGCTGAACCATATGCAGTAAATATCTAAAATAAAGTAGTTCTTTAGAACTTATTATTATTATTATTATTATTATTATTATTAGAAGGGGTGGGCTTCCCCATGCACTTAGACCAGTTATTGGTCCATTGTGCGTCCCCCTTTAATTTCTACTGTCGCCATACCCTACCAGTACTGGTGCGTGCTATCAGCCCTGTTCAGCCAATGAGGTCGGCCCCGGGTACCTGATATTTCCCCCACCTACCAAAGGCATTGGAAACTACTTGGGTGGGAAATGTGTTGCCTAATTTTGCTCAGAGTTCTCCTAGAGACATGAGGATCTTTTATGTGCTGTAAATCTATGACACGGGACCCACGGCTTAAAGTCCCTCCCAGAGGACTTGTTCCCTGAAGTTTTCTGCCCTTAAAATTCCATGACCTCTGCCGGGTTTGAACCCACGTACCTTGAGTCATGAGGTGGGAACGTTACCCCTAGCCTACGGAGGCTGCTTCTTTAGAACTTAACTAGAACAATAAAACTTTTTCTGATGTACACAATTTATTGTATGTTACAGGTCTACATTGCCCAGCTGGAGTGAAGCTCATTGAGCCAACTCCATCTGGACAACATGTAGTGGTGGTCCCTCAAACAGGAGATCCACAGCTGTGGCATGTTATGTCAAATTCTCTCACTCACACATTCAAAGGTACATCACTTTAATTTTTCATTAGCTGTCCTGCTCCAATCTCAAATGTCTAATAGTCTCATCAAAATTTAATACATATTTGTTATTTTAAATCACCTCTATTTCAATATGTTTAGATTTGACTAAGGAGGAGGCATTGCTTTTCTTTTTCAATTATTCAAAAATGTATCTCCTTTGCAGTCGAAGTCAATGCAAATTAGAAACGTGAAAAACTGTAAACTTATTTCACTCTTTTTCTAATGTGTGTTATTGTGCTTTGAATATGAAAAGATGCAAGTGTAGTGTGTCATTGTGTACCATGAGAAAAGAGCCCTGAAATCACACAAGAAATGAAGGATAATTCTGCATTGTGCACAACAGTGTTTTGTGTGATCAGAACTCTATGAGAGAGCCAGATAGCATTAATATATACTATCGCATGACACTCTAACTTTAAAATTTAAAAATATTGAAGTTAAAAGCCACATTTATATCAGATCCCAAAATTATAACCTTTACATTAAAAAATTCATCCTTATTCGCTGTGTTTCAGGTCATAGTGGACCAGTTCTCTGCTTAGCAATTACAAAGCAGTCACAGTACCTTCTTACTGGCTCAGATGATATTTCAATAATTGTCTGGGATCTCAAATCGCTCAATCTTAAACTCAGAATATAGTAAGTAAGAGTTTCTAGTATTGTATGTACAGTAAAAATTAATTAATCATTCATAAGTTATTTAATGACACTATTTCAGAGGTATAATTTAAGCAGTGGATGAAGATGGTAGTAATTTGGATTTGAAAGAAGGTAATTATGGCCTAATTAAAAATACTGTCCAGGAACCTCCCTGGATAGATTGAAGAGTACTATGAAAACCTATAAATGTATAAATTCCTTTATGATCTGCTGCTTATATTTGAAACACTTTTGAGTATGGTGTATATTAGGTAATGAAATATGACCACAGTAATATAACTCTTTAGTTTTAATTAGTTTTTAAATAATACACTTTTTTACTGGGTCCATGTCCATATTGTTCATATTTTAATTGAAATCATAAAAATTAAAAGTTACTAAACTCAGTTAATCAGTAAATTTGTATGTTACAAATCTTCAATGATAATTTCTGCTGTGCAAGTTCAGCACCTAATGTTCAAATTTGGAGAAACAAATAAATTGATTTGAATCTGCAGTTAGTAATAAGAATCAGAACCAAAGAATGTGTTCTGATAATCTTTGTAGTCTATTAAAATGTACCTTTCCTATGTTATGTTTAAAACATGGGCATCCAAATGCAATGTCCATAGTATGTTCATGATGTAGATGTCTGTATTGAAATTTTTGAGACTGAGAAGTGTTAAAGCAAAAGCCAGATTATGTTGAGATGATGTATAAATATGAAAAATATGTACCAAAAAAAATATTTAATTCTTCCTAAAAATTACAGGAGTTGTAAATACACAGTGAAGTAAACTACATAAGTGCATAGTGAATTCACATGCCTAAGTATTGTTGGTATATTTTCTAACAGAGGTGCAGTCTGGTTCTCACATCCATGTGTTACCCATAAGTTCCTGGGTTCACTGACTGCAATATTCAGTTAGTGCATATGTTGGCCATGAGGTGTAGTAACGCCTTAGTGTTATAATGTTGCCATCCATAGTATGGCAAACCATACTTTTTTTGTTTATACTCAGATTATACCATAATGTAATTGCCAAATGAAAGCAACAAGAAAGTGAGCTCTGGACAGAATAGCATTACAGATAAATGCTTCCCATGCAACAACAGCAAATGGGCAAAGGCTACTTGAAACTGGTATGCTGTTAGAGGGTATAGTTTTGTTGAACTTTCTAAATCATAAACAGTTACATGGAGTAGAAGGGTTCCATAATTACATAATTTTCTAAAGTGGTGTATTGTAGATATGCTCCAAATTTTAAATTAGTAGTGATGAATTTTTCTTAACAGAATTATAAATCAAAAGTAGGATATTGTTTTGGCTCATCACAAAAAAAAGTTTTCAACGTTACAGGCAGAGTCAAATATGTGTAGTGTACAAGAATAGAATTTTATGAATTTTACTTCAGAACTGTATTAGACAGTGACCAGGAGGAAAACTTAACTCACCAATAAATGCAAAAGCGAAAAAGTAATTTAAGTTTTGTGAAGAACATTATCTTATATTTGGTTAAATATAAGATTGTAGCATATAAACCAATTTCTAGGTAGGAATCATGAAACAAACAGATTCCCCACAACAGCAAGTTTACGTGCAGCAATAGGAGCTGATGGACATGGTGTTTTCTACGCAGTCCATGCCGAGTTACTATAACCAAGACAAGTTTAGAAGTTAGTTGTAAGGGAGTCTGTGAAGATAAGTCGTAGTCTGTGCAATTGAGAGCCTGCAGGTGATAAAGTGAGCACGGAAGCTGAAGAATGTCCATCGTTAGAAGCCATTACCAGAGAACAACTGGTGAAGACACAGCAGGCTGAAAAGACTTAGCATGTGGTGTAGTAATTTGTAAAGCATTGAGATCAGCAATGGCACTGCAATTAAGTGTATTCACGAATTGTGTGTTAAAATGGTCAATAAATCCAATCTCCAGTCAAAACCTTGTCTATAATCACACTCATACCTGTAACATATGTTAAAATAAAATACAACAGGGTTCACCCTTGCAGACATTACTGTGATGTTGGATGATTGACCTGATATAGCTCTTGAATTTCTTTTTCGTATGTTTACTCTAACTGTGGAATGGTTATTTACTTTTTCTTGACAGCCAAATGGGGTTATTACACAGTAACTTCAGGATAGAGAACCACATGGAAAATGTTTTGCATTTAAAAAATTGTTAAATGGCTGTCAGTTATTCTCACTGTCTGAACATACTTAATGGACATGTTAGAAGACATATAATTGACAAGTGAACTTGTTATCCTATCCTGTAATTGGTGCTCTGAAGGTATTAAAACACATTAGCCCAAATCTGAAGTAATCTGCACTTCACTTTTGTACTCTCATTCATATATATAGTAAATGTAAACAGTATAGGGGTTGTTCATATGTAACCCATTTAGATGTTTAGCTAGAGAATTCTTTGTGGAGGGGATCCATCAAGTAGTGCATCAAAGAGATGTCTACCTCAGCAGTCATGGGGACTCCTCACCCTTCACCCCTTTCTTCAGAGTAATTCCCAAATGCTTTTCATTTGGACAATGCTTACATATACATGTAATGGAGATCCAGAATCTTACATTTCTGTCAGGATCTCAAGCTTTCTATTGACGCATAATATACCATGATAATGAAATAATATGAATGAGACAGTAATAAATTGATAAAGGGCTTCATGGTTGGTGTAAATATTGCTGCATGCCAGACAGAATGCCTTTGAGAGCCTGCACCTGCCCTAACTCTCTGGAACTTCATGTGCTTGTGCTGCAGGTATCTTTATCACATGTCTTCTCTATGAACTTGTCATGTGTTTCAGTGAACACATAGCTCCTGTCCTCAGCCTGACCCCTGCACTGAACAATTCTGTCATTGTGAGTGGTGGAGAGGATTCACGAATCATCATAACCTCACTATTGACCGGAGATGTTGTGATGAAAATAGACCATCACAGGGGTCCTGTCGTGTCAGTGAAGGTCAACACTGCGGGGGATGTACTCGTCTCGGGTCCGGCGGCCATCTTGGTTCTCCTGTCTTTCTCTTTCTTCAAAACTTTTGGACTTTCAAACTCTGTAGAGCTATTTTACTTTTTATTCTTCCTGGCTTTTCCTACACTTTTACTCGTGTAATCATATATGTAGCCATAGAGAATAATGTTCACCTTATACACTTTTTATTGTGTTCTTAAACATAACTTCACTTAGGACAATGCAGGGATAACTGGAAGACAGAATAAGGTGTGCTGCAGTTATGATGCCTAGAGGGAGCTAACAAGAGATAATTTCTCAGGAAATGTACTTCACTGTATTAGACTGATAAAAAAATGAGAACTTTTGTTTTGAAATGGTCTTAGCTGTTGAAATATTATTTATGTCTACTCCATAGATTTAGCTATTTTCTCAGAGAAGACATTTTACCACACCTCAACAGACCTATATTTCTAGAAATCTCCTTCAAAAATTAGGAGCCAGTACAGAAGTGGAGAAAGATTGGAAGTACTGGTATACTATTTTTATTTTAATTTAGTTACGAATTTTGTATTTTTTTCATGGAAATTTCACACTGGATAAAATATATCCCTGAATGGTTACATTAGCAAGCACAATACTACTTATCAGATCAAATTCAGCAGGTATGAAACATTGTTGAGCTTGTGTTTGGAACAACAACTATTTTTAATGTGGACCTCTAGTAACATTCATGCAGATTGGCTGTCATTGATTCCAAATCATTAGCTATGCCAGTTGTAAAATTCCAGATTTATCTGCTACCTGATAACTTAATTTGGTTCTGCTGTCAACTGAAGTTGCAATCTCTGTTGCAGAATTGGAAACATAAGCTCTAAATTTATACATCTGTACCATTTTAAAGCTTAATATTATTTATGCAATACATTTGTCTGTCATCTAGATATATGCAGTGTGATGTAAATTAGATACACATTCCAGGCTATAGCAAGTTATGAACAGTGTATTTCATGAAGTTTTATTGTAATTGTTAAAGAACTTGAAAGATATATTTCCAAGTTCAAATTGTTTCTCAAGTAAATAGTTGCAATTCCAGACCAACTAGGTAAAAGAGGATAACTGAATAAACAGAATTAAAAATGAATTTGGGAAGGCAGGTTTGGGTGGATCAGAGAAATGGGAGAGTAGGTTACACAGAAGAATGAAAATGAGATATAATGATGCTGAGAAAAAAATATGGCTCTGAGGATTTTAGAATAGTCCTTCTTGGCTGATAAAAAGTGAATTTTACAGAGAGTAGCATAGATGTCAATTGTTGTAGTATCGAGGAAAGAAGTGGATGGGCACTGTGGCGGTTACCAATATGAAAGTTAAAAGGGTATAGAGGATACATCCTAAAAAGTATGATGGCCCATCTATGAGGAGAAGGTAAGTGGAAAACATATCTGCTTAGGAAGCAGCATGGAAAAGTATTGGAAAATAAATTTGAAATGCAAGCAATGGTCAAATCTTCATGAAGAAATTGTTTACCAAGAACTATTAGCTCTGTTGATGGTATTTTGCTTATGAATACTGAGGAAAATTCTTCAAAGTGTAGGACAAATGGGAAAGAGTTGTTTAAAAAATGATAGTAAATAAGGGGAAAGTATGTACATTTAGAGGAATATAGTTGACTTATAGTTAACAAAGATATAAAATTATTGTATGTAATGAGATCCTACTGCTGCATTAACTAGGGTTTCTTGTGGGCAGAAAGTTAATGTAATATGCAAACATTTCAATAAATTACTATCACCATTAACTTTCTTAAAACACAACAGTTAGACTGCAATAATGCATTTTACTTAGAGTAGCTTTGCCCTTTCAGTGCTTGCTCAGGTGATCCTCCTAGGCAAACACGTTCACAGACTTTTATGACTATGGAATTCTTAGATACATTGCATTACTTATTCATGGGTTTTGGATTGGATGATTGGTTTTATTGACTTTCAACATAATCACTTTGTACGGACCGAATAGAAACCACCGTTTCCAACAAGACATCTGTTGTGTGTTAACCCATCTGTTGGTTAGAAACGGGCTCTTCTATTCTTGCATGCAGGTTCATTTCTGCGGTAACCTGTTCACCGAGCCGTTGCCTAGCAATGAACCATTCTGACTTTCAAGCGTCATGTCACAAATTTTTTTTTGGATTGAAGGATACTATTAACATAGATCTTACATACATATTAACCGGTTACCAGCTAGTGAAGCTTAGGTGTTCATATCTTTTCTCCAATTCTCCATGCACTTGAGAGTAGACTGCACAGGCCATAACTGCCCCCTTCCAAATTCATACTATCTCAGCATTTGTAATTACCTTCTGGTTTCAGTCAATGACATATAACATCTGTAGTTAATGTAGCATTATTAAATAGCACAAGAATCAATCTTTCTTGTTTTGATCATCTTCAGTGGTGAGAAAACTGCCCTAGTATCATTGACTTTGAGACTGGATGAGTTGTAAGGCTATTTAGGACAATTGCTGGGTTTGAGAGTCTCACAGTGATACTCTCTTCTGGGATGTAACACAGTTCAGTGTGGTAGAAGTTGACCAGCATTTCAGAGGACCATACTGCTTGCTTGTTCATCCTCTTTTTAATTTCCTTTATCCCTTTCATTCCTTAACCTCATTCATTATATTTCCTATATTCCTTTCCCATCCTTTTTTTTTATGTCCACTCTATTATTATTATTATTATCTCATTTCCTTTCTACCTCTCCCTTATTTTAAACCAGTTCCCACATCCTCTTTCTTAATTTTTGTTTTCCCCTTAATAGTTTTATCTCCTTCCTTTCATCACATTTGTGTCATATCCAATTTATTTTCCATAAGGTGAAGTTAAAATTGTCCCTGTGCTCAACGAATTAAGCAATACGCCAAAAAGTCATATGGGGGAGTAGATGTATAGATCCACATTTTCTTGACCTCAACACTAGCTGAAGGTGAGTGGTCAGCTTCATGCCCCAGCCGTTTTTCCCCCCCAGGAAAGAGCCCGCAGTACCCATTGGATAGGAGGTTGGGTGGACACCAGAGCCGGTCTGGACGACATTGAGAAGAGAAAATTCTTGAACCCTACCAGGACTCGAACTCTAACCCCACAGTCATCCAGCCCATAGCCAGTCACTATACCGACTATGCTACCTAATTTTCTATACAATCATTTTTCCTATCTATGGACAACGGCAGGGGGTCAAGGTCAGCATTTGTTCCCCCTCTCTCAAATTTTTTGGGAAATATGAAAATTCAATAAAAAAGGAAATATACCAAAATATCAGTGCCAAAAAATTAAAATTATTTTTAAAGAAAATATATTATCTTTTGAATAAAAAAGTCTTTAATAAAATGAATCTTAATTTTCTCGTCTTGTTCCTCATGAGAATTTTCTGCTCCCTTCCCACAAAACTCCATGTTCCTCTCCCCATATTCCCCTAGCAATGGGAGGCGATTGTTCATGATTTTTCATTTATCCTAGCACCAAGAGAACTAATGTTAAATATTTCCAGCATCCTAACAACAGTGATAAAGTTTGACATTTGGTTTTCCCTGAGCATGATAGAAACTGCCTGTTATTTATACATAGATTGTTGCTCTCCATGTGCAGGGCATGTAGCACGAATGGAGGAGAAGGAAGGCATTTAGAATATTGGTGGGAAAGCGAGAAGGAAATAGAACACCAGGTAGGAAGGAACCTTTGGGTTGGGGCTGCACCATAGCTCAAGCCGTTAGCCACTGGCTTCCCACTGCGGCGGCCTGGGTTCGATCCCGGGCCTGGTCAAGTGGGATTTGTGAAGTGGCGATGGAGCAGGTTTTCTCCAAGTACTTCGGTTTCCCCTGCCAATCTTCATTCCGCCAACTGCTACACAATCACCCTCACCTATCATCTGGTGCTGGTACAATAAACCAGAAGTGGCCACAGTACAAGGGAGTTAGTCCCACCCCACTAGCAATAAGAAAAATTTAAAAAAAAACTTGGGTTCCATAAGATTCTGAGAAGTTCTTGAGTAGCTGCACATTTGGCCGCTTCTCAAGAAGGGCTCAGCTCCATGAGTGAGTTGTTGCTCTCTAAGGATTTCTTAATTTCATATTGGTTCCAAATAATTCCTGATGTTCTTATGTTCACGGTACTAACTAACCACACAAATATCGAGAAGATGGATGTTTCTTCTTGCTACTTTCAGGATCATCTGACTCAACAATCTGCTTGTGGTCATTGGAAAACTTCAATTTACTAAACACAATCAGCTTGCCGTTTCCAGTCACCATGCTCGATGTATCCAGTGATTCTGTGTTCCTGTTGGCAGCCTGCGAAGACAATCAACTTTACCTGCGTTCACTGGCTACAGGAACAGAAATTCACAGCCTGCGGGGGCACAAAGCAGAGGTAAGGCTGCATGCATGCAACATTTGATTTGAATTTAGAGCAGAAGTGGGAAGATGTTTCATTGAGGGCTCAACTGAGAAGTTAAATGTATTTCGTTGGGCCTGGAAGAGGTTCTATTACGCCGGTATAAAAATAACACCTTTAAGTATTTTCAAAATCAACAAAATTGGATAACTCTATATTATATGATCCATTATCACCATTCATCAAATTAATGCAAAAGATGGTGCTGCTTATACCTGTTGTCAATGTTTTGTTACCTGCCATACTGCTTTCCACCTCATATTATCCCTTCTTAATTCTATTTCTGTCTTTCCATTCCCTGTTCTCCTTTGTAACCCCAACAGTTTCTTGCAAAATCAACCCTGAACTGTGGCAGATGTGACAGAACAGATGTGTTGTACAAAGCATTTAGTAACAGTCTTGGGTGCACAGCAATGAGTGTCAGTGCTGAGTTTTAGTAAACCAGTAATGTCACATTTACAGTATGATATCAATGAAAGAACAAAGTGGCTGCAGAACGGATAGAAGAAACAAGAGCAAAATTCTGTTTTTAGTAGGGGGGTTGGTTATTGAATTGCTATTTGCTGTTGGAGGAGGTGAATCCACGCCATAAGGTAGACACAGCAAACACTGCTGACATGTAGCCATGAGTCATCATTTGATGGAAAGCAAGTACCTTAAATGGCTTTTAGGGCAGCATGGAAAAGAAATGATGGAAATGGGCAGTGGGCAGAAGGTGACAATTTTTGGAGTTAAACTTAATCAGTTGAAACAAGCATTTGTCAAAGTTGTAAATGATTGTAAGCAAATTCATCAAGAAATAAAGAAGAGGGAGTCAAGGCAAGAAGTTTATGACCACAGAATATGATTTTTAGAAAATGCTCAAAGAAGAATAATATATAGATTTGTGGGGTGGAGAACAGTGAATGTGAAGGGAATGTGTACACATTGAAAATATTTGAAGGTTATATTTGTGAAATGATGAAGCCTGAAATAACGATGTGGGATAGTGATTATCTGGCAAGAACATGGAAAAAATAGGACATCAGTCAATTTTAATGAGGTTTAAACTCGCTTGAAGAAATGTGAAGTACGTACTTCAAAATAACCTAAAACTAGCTGGATCAGACGGTAGTTAAGTTGATTTAAGAACGAAGAATAAGAGAGGAAGGACATGTAGAATGCTGCAAGTTTATATTTATTAAGGTGTGAAGATTTGGAATGGACATAACAACATCAGGATGAAGTTGTATTGTCCACTGTGGGAACACAGTAGTCTACTTTGTGTTTCTATAAAAGTGTTGAATTTCTTGACATACTAAATAACTATGTATTTTCCTTGGCCAACCTTGTATCATGGAGTTAATTAACAAAGGATAATTTCTATCTTCAGTATATTTGTAATTTGCTTGCTGATTTCCATTACAGATTAGGTCTTTGTGTCTTGCTCAAGACAGCTGCAGAGCTGTGGTTGGTGGAGCTGATGGCAAGATATACATTTTTGACATGCACAGTGGGAGACTGAGTCGAACACTGACAAGTCATGCCACTGATGTCACAGGGGTTAAAGTGACTGACAAAGATGACTTTCTGCTTACCGCTGGTTAGTACATAAATTGAATAGTTAATATAACACTCTGTTTAACCTTTAAGTGCCATAGTGCCCCGTTTGTGCCAGTGGTGAGTAAGGTCATCATGGCCAAAGTACCCAGTTTTGGCCACTCAGGCATTTAAACTCCGCTAGGGGAAGCGCGCGCACACACCGCTAGTAGAAACGAATGCACAGTCTTAAATATTTATTTTTAAATGTAGTAATTACCAGACAGACATGAGTAAAGCCCTAATAGAAAAATTAAAATGATACCTAGGTGAACAACAACAAAAAGAGTATACGTATGAGTTATGCCCAAACTCATCCACGAGCCAGTATTTTTATTGCAGATGCTGCAGATTAATGTGTTA